GATTGTTAAAAACTAGCATGTTAATTGCTGGTATAAAAATTTGATAATTCTTCAACTTCATGCTAGAGACAGAAAAATATCTTCTTTTTATATTTTCCATCCCTTGAATAGTGCTATATATTCGTTTTTTGTCCACAAACTCCAATACCATAATCCACGGGTCAGGTACATTGCCAAGATGCCATCTATTTTCATTTCAAAATGCTCGATACCATGTTAAGCTTTATGGGAAACTGTGAAACTTTGAAAACACACAACCATAAAAAGGTATCTATTTGGCTAGATAATTTTTTTTTTTTTTTTTCAAGCTATTGGTGACAAACGCATGTGATAAGTATAAATGCATCAACTTCAATCTGCAACATTGAAATGCATTAGATTTTGCATGCAAATCAAGTTTTCCTTTTCTTCCTGGGACAAACAAAAGGATTCCCTTTGTAAATATAAGACAAGCATAAAGTTCTGTCACATTAGTAAATTGGAAAAACACAAAATAAGAGGACAAAAGAGCAAGAGAAACTGTGATAGGTTCCTATTGTCAACAAAAACTCAAATGGGTGCCAGGAATAAATGGACAAGCTTCAACAGAGGCATGGAGAAATGAATCGGTGTACTAATGATATGATAAATATGGTTTCTAAGGTTAACAAATAGCCTTATCCAGCCCACTTGTAAATGCTCGTGCTCATGTTCTGGTCTCTCACGACCATGCAACAGCATGCTGAATTGAGACGGAAATTCCACATAAAATAATGCCATTAGTTCAGCTGCTAAGATTAGAAACAAAACAACTTAATTGTTCAAAAACTAACAAGGCGAAACCAATAGTTGTTTGGAATACAAGGAAGACAAAGTTTCAATAAAACAACTAAAGAGATGAATATGAAAGTAAGAAATCAAAATGGCATTATAATTTGCAAGGAATAATACCTTTTTCTCTGACTTTGTCGTCTTCAATGAAAGTTTTTCTTATCATTTGAAGCAGAGTCCAGATACGAGATTACTAGATCAGCTGCCTGGCACCCAGACGCAATTGCTTTGCCAACTGATAAACCACCCTTGTGATTACCTAACATTTATGGCTCACATCAACGTAATGAGAAAACACAAGTATCCAGCAAACAAGGTCAAGTCAAGGGGCGTATCTGCATTATAATCCCTGTGCACTCAATAATTTTCTAATGGTTCAAAACCGCACCACAAATTATTTCCTCGTTGAAATGATGATACAAGATTGTTTTTCTCAGTTCACACTTTATTTTTCCAACAACACAAGTCACAAAATGGAAATATATAATGATGGCGATTAAAATGGATTGCATTTTATATGACTATAGCAAAATATAGAATAAAACTGTACATTTTTCTGGAGAGAATCAGTATTCCCTTTGCTTGCAAGTGCAAGAGCAAAGGAACAAAAAAAAATTATTACTAACAAATCAAAAAGCTCTGTCAAGATAGCAGGTGAAAAGGATTGGAAACATAAATGAGATAAGAGAAAAGTTACCTGCATAGAAAAATCCTGGAAGATCTCTTTCCATCTTGTCAATAGCTTCGATGACTGAATCATAGTTTTTCCCATACAGAGGAAATGCTTTACTCCAGTAGAAGTGACTGCATTTAAGCACATAAACCTTTAAGGTAAATACCCATATCAGTGTAAAGCCAAATAAATGAGTTTGCTAAGCATATTTATATACTTCAGATATGCGGGTTCTCCCTCAGCACCTAACAACTGTCTGAGATCAGAAGTCACTATCTGCTTCAATTCATCTCTGTAACCACGATAATATGTTAAACACAGAAGTTACAAGACATGAAAAATAATCTTTTTTCCCTTTTTTTTTTTTTTTTGGGGAGAAGAACAAGAATCAAATTCATCAAACTCATAAAAAAGCCTTGAAGATTTTAACACCTTGAAGCTTTTGCAAGTTCTTTATTTCGACTTCCTCCAACAAAAGTAGTATAAAGATGTACATCTTGCGGTGCATGATCTGGAAACATTGAAGAAGAGAAGAGGGTGCCTGCATGCAGAAAATTTATAACAGAGATGAGCAAACTACTATATTAGTTATCCAACAGGTAATTTGCACATGTGGTCCTTGACTTTTGGACCTGGTAGCTCTTTTATCACCAACATTTTTTTCTTGGAATTGAATTTGTTAACCTTCTAATTTCAGAGCGGTTTCATCCTTTCACATGGAAACTGTCCACAGGAGACGATAAATTGATTTAGAGTTGTGTCCTTAAGTTCAAACAAGCAAAGCAAATAAACATAAAAAAGAAGAAAAAGAATAAGATCCCCCCTCCCCCATGAAGAAACTTCTTCAGTCCTTCAACCCAACCCCCCCAAGTTCAGTCTCCCCATCCCCATATCAGCTTGGACTAGGGTTGCAGAGTCTGCAGCAGGGGAAAACGCAAAATGGTTACAATTATTAGATGCATTGGATAAGAGAAATGATTCAGAAAAGATGCCCAGAAAGAGTGACG